TGGATTCTAGCCATGGTGAAAAAATCCCCCACCAAAACATAAGATCTTGGCAGAAATTAGTTAGAGGGAGGGGCGATTTTAAATTAAAGGAGCTATTGGGAGTTGTGGTCCGCTGAGCAAGAAAGAGTGTGGATACGCATAACCCAGGTTAAGCACTTTTGATTTGTGAGACTTGGGCTTGGTCTAAAAACAATCTGTCCTGCATAACATACAGGTTATTTGCTAGCAAAATCAAGCCCTAAACTCGTCTGATTGCAATTAGATAATCGGACTTCGAAATAATAAGTGAAGCATGGTATGCTCTTAGCCATAACTTCTTTGTATCAAATAAAAACTATGCTATCATGCTCATTTAAGGCCATAGAGTGGCGAAGCTAATAACTTGAGTTTGTACTTTTCTTCACCATTAAGCAATTTACGGTTTATGGTTGTTGCATTGGGTGACATACACAGATTTATAGCTCAAGATAGACTAGAGTTATAAGCGTTATTTAAAAGTATATGGATATGGTTGGCTATCATGGCAAGTAAGCCGAAGGTATTAAGAAAGGGATTTTGTGAAAAATGGTATTACAAAACGATTATCTTATCACATAAATGCAAATCTAAGGTATCGAGATAGATTTGTAAACTCATTCAAGTAAATTAAGAAAATTAAAATAGAAACAATACGAAAGTAATTGCTGGCTCACTCTTATGCGTATTAGTCAAATCGATGACATGTGCCTCGACAATCGCGGCTCGACGCATTGCTGGCATCCGAAATCCGTAAACATTTTGCCAAATGTCGACGCTCTCATTACGAACTCGAGTGCTTGTCTGAACACCGACTAGGTTAAGGCTGTAGTGTCTAGGGTAGATAGCAAGGCCAAGAGCGCCGCTGGGTAAAAGACGATGAGCCTTATATCTAAAGTGGAAAACCAACGGGTTAAAAATGACCATGATAAGCCATATACAAGGCCTATATACCTATCATTGTCTCCCGGCGATTTGGATCACCAACTCAAGCACGTACTCCATGCACT